AAATAATTATTTTCTTATCTTTTTTGAAGATGTTAGTATAAAGGACCAAAGGGAATGGCAATTATAGTGGTTTTTCCTATATATTACTAATATGTTACTGATTTTCCAGGATTGTCCCAATTTCCGGCATCACCATTAAACGGTGAGAAACTCCTTTTGATACAGTCTCCTCAGCGCTGACTATTCAGCATTTAATAACAAAATTTCCTTGTTTATTTAATAAGTGCAAAAGTACATCTCTGGCCGGAAATCATAAGCATTTGCTGGAACTGGACACCACACACACAGATCTCCCCAGATGAGGACCAAACCACCTGAGAACACTGAGGAGCCCGGTCAATGTAAATAAAGCTTGCATTTCAAAGAATCATTTTCATTTATTTAACAAATACAGTTATTTGACCAATAAAGGCTGAACCTCAAGAAAAACATTCCTGGTTACTCTACAAACTTCATCTCAAATGTTCTGTTTTCATATGCCTATGAAGAGCAAATGAGAGAATTGAATTTTGTAGCTTGAAATATTTTCTCTGATAATATTGAGTGTCTTCTTTTTGCCCCATCCTAGAAATGACAAAGAAATAATAGGCCTTTCTTGGGGAAACTTCTGAGTCAAGGGTACACCCCTCAACACACCCCATAATGGCCCTCTTAGGCTCCTGACAAACAAGGGTAATAGTAGTCGTAATGGTAACAATAATAATAGAATCAGATCCAGAATTTTTCAAGTAGTAATTTTGTCATTACAATAGACAGAAATCACTTTGGTAGTTTGTGAACCAGTATTTTAAAAAATGAAAGGAGACTAGACACAAAATAAATAAGCACATTGCATGTCATTATCCTAAGTATTCTCTTGTGAAACTTCTGTTTGTTTTGTGTGTGTGTGTGTGTGTGTGTGTGTGTAGGAGAGACAGATGATGTAATTTTTCCCTGCTGTGGGTTGCAGAAAAAAAAAAAAAACACTGATCTAATCCTATCTGCTTCATCAGAGAGGTGGGTCTCAGAGATGCTAAAAGATGCCCCAGGATACCTCAGCTGGTTAATTGTAAACTAGGATGAGAACAGAATTCCTTAATCTTGAGGCCAGTGTCTATGCCATCAGGGGGTTTGGCCTGTCAGTCTTGGAGGAAAAAAAAAGGAAGCCCAGTTGGGTTTAGCAGAGCCTATTAGGGAGTAGAGGGAGTAACTAGATGTTGGCACAAAGGATAGAATTGGAGCTTTGAGAGTCTCCATGTATCTTTTAACCCACACCAAATTAAATTGCTTAACCAAAGAGTGGGCATATTGTATTTGGGCTATTCAATGTTTGACTTGCCATTATCGCCTCAAAGTAATAACCAAATGATGTCTATAAAACATTCAAATTGAGCTGTCACCAGAAATCTTTATTTACTATTTATTTCCATCCTGTGCTGCTGGGGATCAAGCCCAAGGCCAGGTGCACGCCMGGAGAGTGCTTTACCACTGGGCTAGCAGGACAGATGTGGAGAGTGGATGATTAATGACCCCCTAGGCCACTGCTTTGGGGCAGACTGAAATGAGTTGGCCCTTGCTGGGAAGGTAGAAGAAGTACTTTACAAACATTAAGAAGTAGAACTTGACCATACCCTAAGTTACGGTGGCCTTTAGGGAAACCCAGGCAGAAACCAGGTCTGCTGGATCCACACACAAGCTAAGTTGTTCTCACCTCTGGGTTGATGGGGCAGCCCTTGCATTGGGAGTGGGCACTCCTTCGTTCCTGGTGGCCAAGTGCTCTGTGCCATCAAAGGCTCGAGGAGGACTGGCTTTCCTCAGACCACGTCTTTTCTCAATGATAGATGGACATAATAGGTGTCTTCCAGAAAGTGACTTTAAAGGTCTATTAAGAGTARGGAATAGGGTGTAGCTCAGTGGAAGAGCACTTGCCTAGCACGGGCAAGGCCTGGGCTCCATCCCCAGCACTGCAAAAACATTTTTTAAAAATGTATATATTCCCAGAATTGAGTCCACGTTAGTTAAATTAACCAAAGGTTATAAAGGTAGCAGATTGGATCATAAGAGCAGATTTGGGGTGAGATAGGAAAGCCAGTAAGAGACCAACTTAGAAACTTGAGAGCCGAAGAAAGGATTTCTTTTTTTTTTTTTTTTTTTAAAGAGAGAGAGAGAGAGAGAATTTTTTTTTTTTTAATATTTATTTTTTAGTATTTGGCAGACACAGCATCTTTGTATGTGGTGCTGAGGATCGAACCCGGGCTGCACGCATGCCAGGCGAGCGCGCTACCGCTTGAGCCACATCCCCAGCCCCGAAAAAAGGATTTCAAGAAGAGAAAATAAGTCAAGTGCTGTCGTTCCTCAAGTCACGCGGTGTCCTCTTTACTGTCACTTGTGGTTTCTTATGCTAGGTCATGCCCAGAATCCTCTGGGGATCTTGTAAAGATGCTGGTTCTGGCGCCCAAGATTCTGCATCAGCCTTAGGTGACACCTGTGCTCCCCAGTCTAAACATCACACAGCAAAGGGCTCTGCACTTCCTGCCATCCCCGCCCCTCCCCCCTCCCCTTCCACTTTAATAAATGCAATATTTTTTATACACAAATGTGGATAATATTTAAACATAGACATTTCTGAGCAACTGAAGCTTGGGATTTCATTAACAGGAAGTTAATAGGTGTGTATGTTTGTTTGAAAGGCAGTGGATCATTAATTATACATGTCACAATCTTATCTCTTGAATAATGGCATGTGTTTCAGGGCGATCCCGTTTGGGAGGATCAATATTAATGAGAATGAAAGAGGAAGGAAAAATGCCTTTTCAAAAATGTAGCCAAAGGTTAAGAGACATTTTGTCTTGGGAATGTTTTATTCACACATTTCTGATGCTGTTATTCAAACTAAATAGACTGGTAAACATTGCTCATGTCCTAGTCTTGTTGACGTAAGTAAAATAAACCAAATTCTTTCTTTGCTTATYAGACTCCTGTCCTCAACCTCCAACTCAACCAAGGCAAATTTTAATTTAAAWTTTTTTTTTTAGTGTAATTAAAAAACAGGGAAGCTTCTCTCTGGATAGGCAAGCACTAAAATAATATTTGAAGTATTAAAATGCAAGTTAAAGCAATAGGAAGGAATGTTACCTAATAAAGTGTTTTTATTGAATACTTCAATGCTTTTCTTAAATACTTTCAAGTTGGGGGAAAAAAAAACCCGTCCTATATAGAGAATTATCATTAAGGATCCATGCTATTTATGAGGAGGACTCCGGCAAAATTTGGTTTTAGTTGGGTACAATTCTGGATTTAGGTCATCCTATGATTATCATGTGACCACAGGGCAAAAGAACAGAGCTGTTTTTCCTCTGAAAATGCACRTGTTTTTATTAATGTTTTTTAAAGAGGAAAAGTTATTCGAAATGCCTAACTCCATTAAATTTCTTTTGGAGTATTTTTTTTTGTCCAGTTAATTTTCTTATTAAACAATATGCTTTGTCTTCAGTAAATTTTTTTTTTCTCATTAGCATGTGAACTAGCTTTCTATTTGCTACTCCAACAACAATTTACCACCAACTTGGCAGTTTCAACAACATAGAGTTCTGAGGTCAGTAGTCTGATCTCTGTGGACTGAGTCACGGCGTGGGCTGGGTCTCGGTTGGCTGTGGGTACCATCTGCTTCCTTGCTTTTCCAGTTCCTAGAAGCAGCCTACACTCCTGGTGGCCCCTTCCCCACCCTCAATCCACACATTAGTCCCGCCCACCCACAGGGCACCATTCTCACCAACTCTTCTGCCTGTACCAGTGCTGCCAACCCTTGCCAGGACATCAGACCCACCCAGAAAATTCAGGACGGTCCCCCAGGGACAAGATCAGCTCCTTAGCAATCCTCCTTCCCCTTTGCCATGCAACAGAACATATTCTCAAGGTTCCAGGGGTTCAGATGTGGACATTTTTGTCTGTATGTCGGAGTTTGGGGGGAATGAGGACATTATTCTGCCTATCCTAGAATGTCTTATTGATATTTAAGAAGCATCTTCTAAGAGAGGGATTGTTGCAATTTGGGGACTGATATTCAAAAAGTGCCATTACATCAAAATTATGTTCTGAGATGGATGTGGTGGCACACATCTGCAATCGCAGCAGCTCGGGAGGCTGAGGCAGGAGGTGGCTCAGCGGTTAAGTGCCCTTGGGTTCAATCCCCAGTACACACACACACAAAAAAAATATGTTCTGATCATATCACTCTCAGGTGGAAAATATTGCTGCTCTTATGAGGCAGGGTGTTCCTCTTTGGATTGCATTCATATTGATTTCTAAATACAGTTCTCCTTTTCCAGTAATTACTTTTGTATTATTATCTTTGGGCATAAATTCTCTATATGGTGTAATGAACCCTTTAATCTGTAACCTATCTAAAATGTATGGACATGAAGAGGAGTATTCAAGATGGCTTAACCTTGTACTTCTCAAATTGGTAAATCCTGCTCCCCCATAGGACAAGTGACAATGTCTACAGACATTTTTTTTTTTTTTCTTTTATGGTCACAATTGTGAGGAGAGTATGGGATGCTGCCAAGTGCCTTACATGCACAGGATAGCCCTACCCCACCAAGGATGATTCAGCCCAAAGTGTCCATGGTACAGAGGTGGAGCGACCCTGGCTCAGAAAGATGGAAACCTGAGACACTTCACCTCTTTTAGTTTTTTAAGCTCTTCACATTTCAAAGACTTAGTTATTAGGCTAATATCTAATATCTAATGAGTGAGTTGATAATGGTATGTTGATTAGAATTGGAGTTGTTCATTAATGGAATTAGATATAATACTAATTAGACAAGGGGTCAGCAACTAAGTTTGATCAAAAGATCAACTAGAAGTTAACAAGGCAGGTGGATCGGTGCACCTCAGTCCATGGGAAACGTGAAAGGTAATACACTGTAAGAGAATAAGCACTGTCTGGATGTTTATGGATGAAATCGACACCCTGGTCTCCTGCTTCTCATCTCTGTTCTTCTCTATCCACACTGCAGGGGTCCCTGGTTCTATGCCAAACGCCTCGTGGACCGGTAACCTCAGAGCTGTGAAGTGGATTGACATGGAAGATAAACACGGAGGCTGCCACGGTGAGGCATCTGTCCCCTGCTTTGGGCCACAGTGCTTGTTGCTGTTGACACGAGGCAGCTAAGAGCACAAGAGAGAGCTAGCTGCCGGAACGTTTAGACCAACCTGCAAGTTCCTACAGAGAAGCTAGGGGCATGAGTCACAGTCTCTTGAAAATCAGTTGAAATATCTCACAGACATTCCCCAGCTCCCAAACACCTGCGGAGAGGGACAAGTAGTTTCCAAATGATAGCAATGCTGGCTTCTTTAGAAAGTGAGCAAGTTCCAGCCCCTTATTGCTTGCTCCTCTTGCTGTTCCTTTGGGAGTGCAGATTTTTAGGAGAAGTGAGGTCATGTTCTCATCAARGGCGAGCTGCACCCCCATCCCTCAATCATCCTCTCTCCCACCTGGCTTGGAGAGCTCACAGGGGCAGGTGACACTAAAGAGAGAGGGTTCCCCTTCAAATGGAAAAGGACTAGAAACCCTATGTCGTTTTCACGTCTATAGAATCTTATGGAGAAGGATTTTTATCCATCCTGGGGTTCACTCCATTCAGAATAATGCCTGACACCTGGTGGGCAGGTGTCTGCTGCAGCTGTCATGCCTAAGGAGCACAGAGTGGGAGGTGGAAGCAGCAGAAGTTAATTTTCTCAAAGTTCTGGAGGCTGGAAATCCAACAGCTAGGTGTCAGCAGGGTTGGTCCTTTCAGAGGCTCCTCCTTTGCCATGTAAATGAGCATCTTCTTATGTGCTCACGTGTTCTTTTCACTGTGTGTGCCTGGGTCCTAATGTCTTAAAAGAACCCCATCAGATTAGATAAGGCCCTACCCTCATGACCTCATTCTAACTTAATTGCCTCTTGAAAGATCCTGTTTCCATTCTGAGGTGCTGGGCGGCAGGGTTCAACACAAGAATTGGAAAGAGCACGGAATTCAGCCCTTTCACACCGTGCAATAAATATTTCTTTGGCAAGTGAGTGATCAAGGGAATGAATGAGAACATGGAGGTCAGCCTTTTCTCCCTGGGGTGACCAGGCTTTGTGTCCACTCTTCCATTCAGTCTGGGCTCCCTTCATCAGTCCATCTTATCTACACCTGTTACAGGTGAAAACCTTCAGTTACTACATTACACCCAACCTCTTTCTCGACAGTCCCCCTCTGCTGTGAACAGCTAGCTCCTCGTGTCCTTATATAGGCATTTCCATCTATTCGAAGGCATATTCACATCTTTCCCTTYATCAGCCCATGTGTTCCCCAGAGGGTAGAAGGCTTCATCTGCCTGCATTATCATGGCCTGTTCTCCCCGTTGGAAGGAAGAAGATGGGGAGGAGGTCATTTTGCTCTTTGATATCCTGAGTTTTCTTTAGAAAACTGACCTCAAGCCCCAGTCAGTTTCCCAATATTTGCAACATGTAATCTTCTCCAGATCTGGAAACCACTGTCTCTCTCCCTCCCTCCTGGACCCCTGCAGGCCCCCTCTGTCTGTTTCCCCAGCTGTTACACAAGAGGACTTCACCGTCCACGCCAGATGATGTAGAAGGCATCATCGCCTTCCAGCTCTAGCCTTCCCTGGCCACCACAGAAGCCCCCATCCCATAAGTAGAGTCACCTGCAGCCTCCTTGCCATTACTGGTGTCCAGGGCCTATCAAAGTAGAGAAGGTGTAACCTAGTTGGGCTTACATTTTTGTAGGGATTCTTACTGATCACATGACAGAGGGGACCTTAAGAGTTGGYCTGTTATGGTTTGGATATGAGATGCTCCCCAAAAGCTCCTGTATCGATGCAGGAGTTTTTTGAGGTGAAATGGTGGTGAGAGCTGTAACCTAATCAGTCTGTCTTAGCTTAACAAGGCCAACAGAGGGAGATGTAGGCAGGTGGGTTGTGGCTAGAAGAGCTGGGTCACTGGGGACATGCTCTGGAAAGGCTGTCCTTCCCCACAGCCTTTCCCCAACCCCTGCTTTCTTGCTAAAAAGAGATGAGCAGCTTCCCAACTCCACACCCTTCCCCCGTGATGTACTGCCTCACCTTGGGCACAGAGCAATGGAGTCTGTGGTTATGGACTGAGACCCCTGAAACCATGAGCCCCAAATAAACTTTCCCTCTTCCAAGTTGTTCTTGCCRGGTATTTTGGTCACAGCAATGCAAACCCGACTAAAATATGGCCCTAGCCAGGAACCTACCTTAATGTTCAGGTCTGGGTAGCACAGTTCCCTCTCAGACAAATCTTTGATTCTTCTTCTTTTGGTACCCATTATGCCAAAGAACGTCGGAAACCTTTTATGGTTACAGGCATAATAATTGTCCTCCAAACCACTATATATAGAGAAAAAAAAGGGCAGAATCCAAAGGAGGTAGAACATTGCATGTAATGTAGTGACTCAGTATTATAATCCTTTTCTCCTTGTCCATCTAATTTATGTTAACTTGGTTTCTAATATATCCTGCAAAATGCTGCAGATTTCATCTTGTATAGTCAGTTTTATCATGTGTTTCTTCTGTTCAAAAATCTTCAAGGATTGTTCATGTTTATGGGATAAGAGGGCAAACCCTTTCTTCTACATCACTGGGCCAACATGTGTTCCATTATGTGCCAAGGAGAACCTCTGGAAATAGCTCCAACTTCCTACCATTCTTGTCTCTAACCCATTCCCGGCAGAATTTCATATTCTAACAGAAAACTCCCACCTCTACAATTTTTCCAGAGGCCTTTCCTTCAGTCTGTCCCAAGCCACCCTCTACCCTCGATGCTGCCCAGTTCTCCCCATCCACCCTTCTCCATGCTTTCATTCCACAACTACTAATTTAATGTCTGAGATTTGCTGGGCACTCTTCCAGATGCAGAGGATGTAGAAGTGAGCTTAATGCTATGAAGTCCGGGCTCTTCCGGAGGTTACAGTGTAGTCTGGGATGCAAGTCAATAAGCAAAATATCATTTTCCTTCTTGGCACTGATACATATGTATCAGTTGGTGACAAGTGCCAAAGAAAACAAATCAGGTGTTTTAGTCAGCTTTTTTGCCACTGTGGCTAAAAGACCTGACCAGCACAATTGTAGAGGAGGAAAATTTATTTGGGGGCTCACAGCTTCAGAGATCTCAGTCCATAGACAATAGGTTCCATTCCTTGGGGTTCAAGGTGAGGTAGGACATCATGGTGGAAGAGTGTGGCAGAGGGAAGCAGCTCACAGATGATCAGAAAGCAGAGAGAGAGAGAGAGAGCTCTACTTGCCAATACAACTACATACATACCCCAAAGCCATGCCTCCAATACCCACCTCCTCCAGCCACATCTCACCTGCCTTCTTACCACTCAGTTAATTCCATCAGATGATCGATTCACTCATTGGGTTAAGGCTCTCATAACCCAATCATTTCTTCTCTAAACCTTCTTGCATTGTCTCACACGTGAGCTTTTAGGGGACACCTCACATCTAAACCATAACATCAGGGAAGAAGGAATGGCGGTCTCGGGAGGCCTCATTGAGAAGGTGGCTTTGAAGCAGGGTCCTGAGGGTGCCTGGAGGGAGCCCTAAGGATATCTGGTGAAGGGTGGATGGGAGGAAGAGGAAGTGGAGATTCTCAGAGAGCCCACCTGTGTGCTTGGGACTGGCAAGGAAGCCGGTGTGGCCCAAGTGAATGAGCAGAGGTCAGAGTGGGGAGATCTGAGTCAACAAGGCCAAGTGTGGCCAGAGTCTGAGTCTGAAATGCCATTGTCAGGGTCTCGAGTAGGGGAGACGAGTTCCACGTGTATTTTAAAGCAACCTCACTGGCTGTGGGATGAGACGTACTAACAGGGCGAGGGTGTAAGTCAGATAGGAAGATGGCGGAGGCCCAGGGTGCTGGCCATGGGGCTGGTGAGGAGTGGTCAGATTCTCCTAATATTTTAAGGTTGAGTGTGTACAATTGCTGATAGATGGGGTGTGGGACATGAGAGAGAGTGGAAGAACCCCACTCTCACCCCTTCCCTGGGATTCTGAATGACTGTGGACTCCGGTGGGGAAGACTTAAAGAGGAGGTTAGTAGAGAGGAGATTAAGAAGTCCAGCACTAGATAACACAGTAGTGCACACCTATAATCCCAGCGACTCTGGAGGTTGAGGCAGGAGGATTGCAAGTTCAAGGCCAGAATGACAGCTTGTGAGACGCTGTCTCAAAATTTTTAAAAAAAGGATGGGGCTGTGGCTCAGTGGGAGAGCACTTTCCTAGCATGCACGAAGCCCTGGGTGTCATCGCCAGTACCTTAAAAAAAAAAGAAAAAGAAGTTCAGCGCTGACATTCCATTCTGAGGCTTATTACCCATCTAAGGAGAAGTGTGAAAGCTAGRCCAGAGCCTCGGACCCAGGGAAGAGATTTAGCCAACATAACCTCTAACGGCCTCTGCCATCTGTTCCCTTCCAGAACTTCTCACCCACAACTCTCATTCTCCAACATATCGCATACCTCGGGACACTTACCATGCCATTTCCTTGTGCTATTTAATTCTCATCTTTGTCAAATGCATAATTGTAGCTCTTGACCTCCTAAGGGGAGCTTAAGCCGCTCCTAGGCTGGGACTATCCCGTCACACTTCTTTGTACCTCCTAACACTTGAGGCAGTGTTACCTCCTTGGCAGTCCATTCTACCTTCCCGCCCTTGACTTTTGAGAACAAGCATGTTTTGACTGTGTTTTCTGTTCTGTCCTTTGCAGGCCACTACGTACATGGCATTTGTATCTATGGCAACGGAGACTTAAAGTGGCTGATGGATTCGCAAAGCCTGTTTGCTAACAAGTTTGAGCTCCATAAGTATCCCCTTACCGTGGAATGCCTAGAACTGAGGCTTCGAGAAAGAACCCTCAATCAGAGTGAAACCGCCATCCAGCCCAGCTGGTATTTTTGATCAGCAGCTCACGTCTGCAGGGAAATTGCAGTTGGACAGAAGAGCCCTTCTTTGCAAGAGATGGTTGCAGGACCACAGTCATGGCTTCAGGACCTGGCCACATAATTATACTTAAAATATCCACTGGATACTGTGAAACACACTGACAGGATGGCTGGGCAGAGTGATCCCAGCACTTTGGCCGGTTTGGCAGATTCTTGTTGCTCACCTCTGGGTTGGACTATTCCTATGATCAATGAGAAATTTAAATACCTTCGGATCTTTGCACCAGATACTCATAATATAAATATATTCTAATAGAGAGTAGGATGGTAGATAATCCTATTTAGGACAAAAAAAAAAAAGAATTCAGTTTCTTTAAAAAAAAAAAAAAAGGAATCCTCTATAATATCTTAATGGTCTTTACTCTGTGCTTAAGAATTTCCACACTAACATTTCCAGTTTACCCATGTCTGAAGTTCTGTATGTAGTGTAAAGCCATTAAGGAGACAGAGGATGTGCTTTAAGATAGGAGTCTCTGCTTCAGGGAATGGACCTCGCGGGCACATAATGTTTCTCCATCTTATGCCAGAACATTCTTTGATCTTTCTTGCATGTTTTTTTCACTGAGAACCCTGAAAAGTCCTCACAAGAATGAAGGCATTCCTAGAGGTGCTATTACATGAGTCTTGTCTCAAGTTGGAAACCCCTCGGAATGAATGACTTCTTCTGTGACTCCCTTCCCCCTAAATTATCCTACTTGCAAAACAGACACCAGATTCTGCAAGGCTTTTAACTACACTGTGCTATTCTCTGAGCAGCTGTACACTGCTCGGTGTTGATGGGAGTGCCTTGATTTTTAAAGGCTTTTAATTGTGGGTGACTGGAGTGTCATTTATTCCTCACCCATTCATTCAGCCTGCATTCAGGGAATAGTTCTTGAGCATTTATGATCCTSTAGACCCATGCTGAGACAAGAAGAAAATGAAGATGGAAGGTTTTTAAAACCTTGGGAATAACGTTAATAAGGAAAAGCCTGGTCTGGAGAAGCTTACAAAGTGTTGTATTGAACACATCCCTAGGCGTAGTTAACTAGTGTGGAATCAGGCCAAGGAAATCAGTAATTACAAAATGAGGGTTAAATTAGAGATCATTTGAAAGAGAGGAGGAGGATACAGAATCTGAAGCGAGTAGCGTTCTAGGCATTCTGCTGGCTCCTCAACATGTCTTCTTTCATCTACCCTCATGGGAGTCTCATGAGGGCAGCATGAGCCACCCCCATTTTGCAGATGAAGTAACTGAGGCTTGGGTTAATCAGCATTAGTAAGCACACTCTTTGTCTGAAAATTGGGATTCTCTTACCGGTCTTCATTTCCTGAGCTGGCATATTGAGAGAAGATGAAATAAAATGAAATAAAGCCATATTTATTATACCAGAGAAGGTAGATTTTTAAGCATGGTCTCAGTGTTAATATTGAGAAAAAGTTCTGGCACCTCAGAAAGATGTGAAGTCTACTCTAGTATTCCTCTAACCCACTGAATTCCTAAATATTTATTTATTCTAATGAAAACAATGACTACAACAGATGAGAGATTTAATTAACACAATTTTATTTTTTTTCTATAATTGTTCCTATTGAATGTCAATCATATTTAAAGGGAATGACTATGATAAAACTTTCTTTTTCCTGCTACTGAAAAAAAAAAAAAAAGGAACTGTATTGGGCAGTAAAGGGTCGAAGGGTAGGAAACACATCCAGGGTCAAGAGTGAAGTCTAAAAATGGTCTCTTTTCAACTTATTAGTTAAGTGAAACACCTGAGAAGAAGAACTGTTTTACACTGGATCTTACTCATATAGAATGAGATGATTTTCTGGAATAGAAGATGTTTACACGTCCCTTGCTGGTCATCTCTCCTATAGCTTCAGTAATCTTGGAAGGGTGGAGTGGAGTGTTCGAGCTAGYAGATTTCTGCTAGCCCATCGAGAAGCCCTGAAACTACTGTAGCCATGTTTGGTTTTGATAATGTTCTGTGTTTTTTCTTGGAAATAAATTAATATATTGTTTTACACCTTTGGGGGGATATTGTGTATGTTTATTTGGTGGTTGCTTGAAATCTGATAAGGACATGGCTTTAGTCAGCTTTCTCGCTGCTGTGACTAAAGGACCCAACCAGAACAACTGTAAAGCAGGAAGGTTTATTTGAGGGCTCAGAGTTTTAGAGGTCTTCGTCCATAGAAGGCTGGCTCCAATCCTTAGGGCTGGAGTGAGGCTGTACATCATGGCAGGAGAGTTCAGCAAAGGGAAGCAGCTCACCTGGTGATCAGAATGCAGAGAGAAAGAGAGAGAGAGTCCACTGGCCAGATACAAATATATACCCCCAAGCCACACCCCAATTCCCACCTCCTCCAGCCACACTCTACCACTGTAGTTACCAAGACTCTCACAACCCCAATCATTTCTCCTCTAAACCTTCTTGCACTGTTTTACATGTGAGCTCTTGGAGGACACCATGTCTAAACCACAACAAGCATATTTAAAAAGGCGATCATCTTAGACAAAAAAAATAAAAATAAAAAAGGAAGGAAGGAAAAACAATACATTCATACATGCAAAGCTGTCTAAAAGTTTCCATCTCATGAGAAATAATTAAACTTTCCCTTTGCTGGGTGTTGAGAGAGTAATTGGAAATGATAGAGGAGAAAGCAAAATGGAAGATCAACTTTATTTAAATTAGGCACAATTATTTAAAAATTTGAGGCAAGAATAAGTTATCATTTGCTTGCCCTGTGAATTCATTTTTTTTAACTCAAGATATAATTTAGGAAAAAGTTTTGTGCTAATGTTATCCTATTTGCTTATCAAATGCTAAAGTTTTTTGAGCAGCACTTCAGCTGTAAGTTTGCTAAATAAATATCACTTCTGATGGACACATGGAAAATAACCTCGGGAAGGCATCCTACATACTATTGTTTAAGTGAAAAATATCTTAAAGCTAAAATAAAAAAACATCTCAGACCACAAAGTAATGAGAATAGRTGCTCATAAATTGAAACTAATATAAAATATAGAATATAAGTGAAATAATATGGAATAATATAGAATAAAAAGTGAACTATCCTCCCTAGGGGTAATCACTCTGATGTATGTTAGGTACAGCTTTTGCAAACTGCAGTGACATACACACTAAATACGCATGCATTTCCAACAGTGCTGTCCAATAAGAATGTCTATGGTGACAAAATTTCTTTATATCTGCTTTCCAGTAGGGTAGTCAGCGTGCACAGGAGCTTCTAAGCACTTGAAKTGGGCCAGTATTTCTCCATATGGCAGAGAAATGTTATTTTTAACCTTATTTAGCTTTACTTGATTTAAACAGACACATGTGATTCATGGCTTCTGCATTACACAGCACATTCCTGAAGGTAGACAGCACTTATGTGAATGTGTTTACAGAAAATGGAAAAACACACATACTTTTTTCAAAATAAGTTGATTATATGGGTACATAATAGAAATTATATCCTTTCCCGACCTACTAGTTTAGACCTTTTAAAAATAAACTATTTAGCTTAGAATGAATTTAGAAAATGAAAGTACAGAGTTCCCATGTACCCCATATTCTGTCCCCCCATTATTAACATATTACGTTAGCGTGGTACACTTGTCAAAGTGAAGGAGCCAGTGTCGATACAACATCATCCAACTTTATACTTCAGATTCCCTTACTTTTTATTTCATGCTCTTCTCCTATCCCAGATCCCACCCAGCATAACACACTAGATTTAGTCATCCTTCTTCAACAGGCTCCTCTTGGCTGTGACTGTTTCTTAAACTTTCCTTGTTCTTGATGACCTTGACCATTTTGAGAGTACTCCCCAAACTCATGAGCCGAAACTTAGTCACCAATGTGATGGTGTTGGCAGGTGGGACCATTAAGAGGTGATAGAGACTGGTGTCCTTATGAGCAAGTCCCTCACCCCTTCACCATGAGAGCAAGAGGGTGCCATCTATGAACCATGAAGTGGTCTCACCAGATGTCAACCTGGCCGGCATGTTCTCTGCCTATAGAAGAACTGTGAGAGATAAATTTCTGGTATTTAGAAGCCACCCAAGTTTTGGGTATTTTTGTTACAGCAGCCCAAACAGACTGACTTTCAAAAAGGGAAATTCTATACATCTCTATTTCAGACTATGGAAATGATTGAGAAGGATAAAAGAGAAGAGCTTCCATAGTCATATCACTAAGAGAGTGGTGAGAGATGTGAGGGCTGTCTGGCTGTGACATCTGTCACCCCAGGGATCACCAGTGTTGATTTTGGCTGATTTGGCTGGATAGGTAGTTGTCCCCTTCCTCCCTAAAGGCTCTGTGTGCATGCCTCCTGAATCTGCACTCACCATAAAAATGGATGTTCTTCTGTCAAGCCTGAATGAATAGCTGTGGTCCCCTGCTAGAACCTCCAAGGAAGCTCACGAGAAAGTGGTGAAGAAGAAAATAGCAGGTGTTCAGAGGTTAAATGTGACCTGTGGTCTCATAGATCAGTGGTTATAAACCCTGGATTCAGATTTATTTCTTATTGAGTAGATGTAATGGCTCACTGCAAGGGAGGAGAAAAAGTGCTGATTACCGCCACTTCTACACACTTAAACTCTGGTGCTCAAACGCCTTTCGGGACATACCTCTGAGCAGGTGAGGTAAGGTAAGGCCATGATCAGCATTCACACCATGGCTTTACAGATAACCCTGCAGAAAGCATTTAAATTAGACTTGCCAGTGTTGTTTATCAAAGATAACCCAACAGAAGAGGAATAGTTTAAAGAATAACCACAGGAACAACACAAGATTCTTTAGGGGTAACAGCTACAGAAAGCAACAGAATGACTTAAATATGCAATAGAGAAATATTTGAAAAGTAGGAAATTAACTAAAACACCGATATTACAGTGATTGCCATGCATGGAAATTTTCCTACCCTGATATGTGATAGAGAAGCATTTTTAAAGGATGGTGAAAATGAGGAAATGTCTTTTTAAAACTTCTACAAATAAAAATAAGAATAAAGACACACTGCTGTGTTTGCAAAGGATTTTTTGAACAGAAGATTCCATTCCATCTTTTGCATATTTAACTGTGCCGGGGTCAAGTTCTAGGTTTATAGTATGTATTAAGGCTGACTGGAGTCCCTCCCACGGTAACAGTTGATACTTATTATGCACATGACAAAGGGGTCAGGTTTTGCTCATCATTATTTTATGACTGAAAGCTTTCTTAGGAATATTTGACTCCCACCTATATTAAGCTCTGTGTTTATTTTTGATCACTTGTGTTAAGGCGAGATTGCAATAAATCACTGAGTCGATCTTAAAGCAGGAGATGGAATCTTTATTCACCAGTTGGCAGTCTGGATCCACCAGCTGGTGGGCCAAGGGGCAGGCTGCAAGTCTACACCCTTCAACCTCCTCCCAGGGTTTGAGTACACCTTTTATCGTCCAAACCCATATTAAAGCATAAGTGTCTGTTGCTATGATTCAATACCATAAACAAATGTCATGAGATCAAAAATCATAAGAGAAAAGGGATTGGGCCAAAATGTCCCTAGTTGAGTACAAGTTAGATAATGATTACTAAGGACAATCAATCTCTGACAGGGTACATAGTCCAAGAAAAATGGGAACCAAAGAGAGAACACTTTTACATTGTATAAGAATTGCCATTGGGTGTTGCCAAACATGCTCTGCTAAGCAATTGCTGATGGGTACAGAGGCAGGGCTTTCCATGGGAGAAGCATTTCTTACATGACGTGGAGTCTCAGGGCAAAATGGAGTGTGTTTGGTCATTGCCCATATAGCCTGACCCATAACACTTGCAATTATGTAAGCACTTTCTACTTGCCGGGCACTAAGCTAATTGTTGAAAATCAGCAGATTTGTCTTCACAGAACTTATTAAAAAATGCTTCTTTGTAAATTTTCAAGAACACTTTGTATTTTATTTTCTAACAAAAGAATGTGAAGGATTATGACTGGTTCCACATCCGGTTCCATATCTGAAGCAAGTCAAATGTGATGTCTCCTAGTCACCATTAACTTATAAAAAAAAAAAAAAAAAAAGATTGGCAGGTTCTTTATATTCTAGTTGGAGTGAGAAAAAAAATTACAAAATATTCCAATGAAGATACTTTTAGACAGTGTTTAAACGCTTTGGAGAAAAGAAAGCAGCGTGTGGCGACACAGGAGGATAGACGCAGCGGGTGGGGGCTTCAGAGGAGGCTGTCAGGGTAGGCGGGTCTGCAGGTGAGACATTGAGATTGCAGTTTTGTCATCTGCAAATGATCACATAGACGGTGGCTGGACATCAGGACTTGCCTTCACCAATGTGCTTTTTGACCTTGGTAAAAATTCAGCCTGTCAAGGGCTCCTTGGAGAAAAAACTGGTTGGGGAGCTTGGGCAGGGCAGATATGAGATGGGCCTGGAACATCCTGTTGCACAGGAAAGAGGGAAGTGCTGAAAAAGTGATGCTCATTGACAAGCGATACATTCCTTTGCATTTAAAGGATCAGGCATCACCATAAGGGGCTCCTAGTGGCTCAACCTAGGACAATTTGAGCACCAACATAAATAATGAGGCCAGGCGTGGTGGCACACACCTGTAATCCCAGTGGCTCGGGAGGCTGAGGCAGGAGGATCACGAGTTCAAAAGCCAGATTCAGCAATGGTGCGCACTAAGCAATTCAGTGAGACTCTGTCTCCAAATAAAATACAAAATAGGGCTGGGGATCTGACTCAGTGGTTGAGTGTCCCAGGGTCAATTCCCTTTATAAATAAATAAATACCGCAACAGATTGCAATCCAATGACCAAAATAAGAATCCATGGGCGAATATATGTGTGTGTGTGTGTGTGTGTGTGTGTACACACATATACATATATATGGACACACACATGCACAGACATATTGTTAAATAAAAATTTTAAGAGGATATTGACTTGAACCAAGCGCCAA